AAAGGAAGGAGGGGCAGAGAAAATATTTGAAGAAATAACATCCATAAATTTCCCGAATTTGGTGAAAAGTTCTGGCCCACAAATCTAAGAAGCTCCATGAGCCCCAAGCACAAGAAACACAAGAAGTACTATACCAGAGTATATAAAATCAAATCACTAAACTCAGTAATACAAAAGAGGTCTTAATACAGAATACAGTAATACAGAAGAGCAGCAAAAGAGGAAACAGTACATACAGAGGAACAAAGATAAGAATTACAGCAGAAATAATGCAAGCCAGAAGACACTGGAGCAAAGTCTTCAAGGCACAGAAAAAAACTGTCAACTTATAATGTGAAAATATCTTTCAATAACAGATGTGATGATGGGAAAAGAAGAATCTTTTCAATAAATTGTGCAGGAGTAACTGGAGATCAACATGCAAAAGAATGAAGTTGGACACTTACTTTATGCCTTATACAAAAACAAACTCCAAATGGATCAAAGACCTAAATATAATAGCTAAAACTATAAAATCCTTGGGAGAAAACATAGGGACAGATCTTCATGACTTTGGATTCAGCAACTGTTTCTTAGCACAAAGCAAGCAAAAAATATATATATAAATAAATAAACTGGACTTCCTCAAAATTAAAACTCTTTTGTACCAAAATTAAAACTCTTTTGTACCAAAACTCTTCCTCAAAATTAAAACTATTTTGTACCAAAGAACACTATTAAGAAAGGGAAAAGACAATCCATAGAATGGCAGAAGATATTTGTAAATCATGTATCAGATAAAGGTCTAGTATCCAGAATATGTAAAGAACTCTTTCAACTCAACAACAAAAAGACAACCCAAATAAAAAGTGGGCAAAGGGCTTGTATAATAGACATTTCTCCAAAGATACACACATGACCAGAGAGCTCACCAAAACATGCTTGACATCATTAGTTATTAGGGAAATGCAAATCAAAACCACAATGAGATTCTACTTCACATTCACTAGGATGGATGGAGATCTATATCTATATCTATATCTATGGAAGATAATAATTGTCATATATGTCATATATATATATTTATAAAATTGTTGATGAAAATGTGGGGAAATTAGAACCCTCAGTTCATACACTGCTGCTGAGAATGTAAAATGGGCGATTGCTGTAGAAAACAGTCTGGTGGTTCCTTAATAAGTTAAACATAAGCTTACCATATAACCAAGTATTTCCATTCTCAGGTATGTACCCAGGAGAATTAAAAATAGGTGTTCAAACAAAAGTCTGTACATACACACATTCATAGCAGTACTATTCATAATAGTCAAAAGGTAGAAAAGCAAATGTGTATCAGTGGATGAATGGATAAAGAAAATGTGGTATATCAATGCAACAGAATATTATTCAGCCTTAAAAAGTTACGTAGGAAGTACTGATACATGCTACAACATGGATGAGTCTTGAAAACATGTTAAATGAAAGAAGCCAGACACAAAAGGCCACATATAGCATGATTACATTTATGTAAAAATTTCAGACTAAGCAAATCCATAGAGACAGGAAGTGGATTAGTGGTTGGTTGCCAGGGCCTTGGGGTAGGGGGTGATGGGGAGTGTCTGCTTAATGGATACAAGATTTCCTTTTGGAGTAGTAAAAATGTTCTGGAACTAGACAGTGGTAGTGATTGTACAACACTGTGAATATACTAAATGTCACGGAAATGTGCACTTTAAAATGGTTAAAATGGTGAATTTTGTTATGTGAACTTTGCACAATAAAAAAAGCAATTACATAAAAGTCTATTATTTTATTCATCCATCAAACATTTATCCAGACAAGCTCTATTCTGGATGCGGGGAATACGGAGAACAATGACATATGGTCTTGGCTTTTGAGGAGATCATGGGCTGGTAAGGGAAGAAAAACATTCTGCAAACAATTAAGTTCAATTAAGTGTTAATGTTTCTCTAACATTAAGAGTGTGTATGTACATTCAGGATGGCTGCTTTGCCGTTGCAGAGAACAGCAATGGCGAGGTTAAGGCTCGAGTGCTGAGTAGGAGTTTGCTGGGTGCCTGGCAGCAGCAAGGAATTCCAGGCGGAGGGTGTGACCTGTGGAAGTTCAAAAAGCTGGGGTCCAAAAGACATCGGTTTTCAGGAAACACCAAACCATACAGCACATGTGCAGCAGTGTGGAGGATGGGCTTCAGGACAGTGAGGTGACAGGTGGGCAACCACCTCAATCTGGTCTCAGCAGGTGGTAACTAAGAAATGTAAGGATAATGACATGGACCCCCCTGGACATGAGGGTCCAAGAAAGTGTGATGCCACAATTAGGCCACTTGGTGGGTGGTGGACGCTGCAGGTCCCTAAGGTGGGTCTGCCGGACGTTGTGTTCTCAGGGCACATCCAACCAGAATTTACTCCCCTCCTCCCCATCTTATGTATTCTATTTTTAATGATTTTTTTTTTCATTTGAAACCTACTTCCCTTTTCCTTGGGCTTCCTCTGTTTTCCTGTTTAAAATATGTGTTACTATGGAAATGTCATGGCACAGTATAGTGGCATTTACAAGTGAAGTGTAAAGAATTTTCAGAACATCTAGAAATATAACTCTATGGTTTAGGAATATAAACCCTAATGATGTGATAGCATTCACACCTATAGACACTGTGTTATAAATATAAACACACCCGGAAATTTGAGACAGCATAGAGGAGACAGTTAAGAACTTCATTAGGATTTATGTGCCCAGATTTTAAAAATATATATGAGAAATATTAAAAAACATAAAACCTAACACACTACTTGGGAAGGACATCTGGAAACAAATGAATGACAGAATGCCAGCATCTTATGAATACGCACCTCTGGAATAACCAGAGGGCCTGGACACACCAATGAAACTTGGAAAAAACTGTCCTACTTCGATGCTTTAAATACATTCCCTAGGGGCACCTGGGTGGCTCAGCGGGTTAAACCTCTGCCTTCAGCTCAGGTCATGATCTCAGGTCCTGGGATCGAGCCCCCAATGGGGTTCTCTGCTCAGCGGGAAGCCTGCTTCCCTCCCCCCCCCACCGCCTGTCTTTCTGCCTGCTTGTGATCTCTCTCTCTCTGTCAAATAAATAAAATCTTAAAAAAAAAAATACATTCCCCCAAAATTGCCCGTAAATCAACTGTTTGTAAGTCATTTTATCAAATGGGATGTTGACTGCTATTTCAAAGATATCTTAACAATGTATATGTTGGTAAAGGCAATTATTACCAGTGGAGTAATGGAAAAAAAATTCACTGGGCTGAGTGAAATTCAAGGTCCTTCATTATTATTCTGGCTTAGCCACCCGCTAGATGTGTGGTTCAAAAAAAGTCACTCAACCTCGCTGTGCCAATTTCCTCATCTAAGCAGAGCTGTAATTCTGAATTTTCACTTATTGGGTTCTTAAAGCAAGGTTCAGGGGGACTGGCCCACAGCCCAACATCCAGTTTCTTCTGAGAGGTACAACTTCACACTGAATCCTGGGGATGGTATAGCCAGCAGGCCAGTTAACCATTGTTTTGTGTTTTTCCTCTTTAAACTCAACTTTCTCGCTCCCACAATCACCCTATGTGTGATCTTTCTAACTTTCTGTCCTGGAGTCTTTATAAAAGCTTGTTCCTTACAGCTGTCCTCTGGGAAAGATGGACAATCTAAGGTGGGAGCCCATTTTCAGTGGTCCTTCCACCTAGAGCCCTTTCCCCATGCCACAAGGCTGGGCACAGCCTAAGGGCAAGCGCCCAACCCTCTTTGCCTCAGGCAGGCCCAGACCTGAAGGAACTCACCAAATGAATGCTCACTATGCTCCTGGAGGAAGATGAGGCAGAGAAATGGGTCTGGTGAAATACCTGAACTCTAGGGGTGAACTTTTGGCTGCTATTATCCAACATTCCTGGACCTTCCAAAATTTCCACAATGGGGCAGGAATATAAACATACGACAAGCATTAAACTCTCCTTTTCCTGGCTTTCCGACAATGTCCTGGCCTCCCACAAATAATGCAAACTTTGCCCAGTTCACCAGCATTGGGAACAGGACATGGGGAACACATCTTTAACAGAAACAGCCACGACAGCCTCTGCATCTGTTCTGTTTAAACAGCAATGACACCACGCCATTTGTCTTTGTGGACCTAACACCTGCCATCTAGTCCCAGGCCAAGACCCTTGCCAACTGGCTTCAGAAAAGGCCATCTATCAACAGTGTTTAGGCACCACCTTGATTAATCTGCTATACAGGAAGGTACAAAACATAACTGTAAGAATTATTTGTCTTAAGCAAAAACAGGTTTAAGCTTTATTAACTGGCAAGAGCTAGAAGGCAATGGGTCAGGCTTTGCCTATTAGTGCCATTTTGTGGAGTAATTCAAGAGCCATTAGGAAGACTAAAGAACCAAAGGAAATCGCTATCTACTGAGTCCTTTACTGTGTGCCAGGTCTTGTGCTGGGGGACACCTGCATTAAAGTAAGCCTCATATCTAATAATCACCATCAATCTGCTATATTCTTGCTCTTGCCTCTCTCCCCCACTTACAAGTATGCTCAGGAGGAGGAACGTTTTCTTGTCTCGTTTATTGCTGTATCTTCCGTGTTTAGAACAATGTCAGATACACGTAAGCAGTCGATAAATACGTGTCGAACCAACAAAACGAACAAATCTACGAGAGGAGTGTTATTATTCTCCTTTTACAGATGAGTAAATTGGAGTGCTCCGAGGGTGCAAAATGAAAGGCACATGGGTCGTTAAGGAGCCAGTACCCGTTCTTGCTCTTCTGTTCTTTCTACGGACCAAGAGACTTACACTTTGATCTTGAAGAACTATCTTAGCTTGACAAATCTATGCATCCCCCCAAAATATGTCCATATACTCATTTGAAGGTCTGAAATTTTACCAAAGAGGTATATTTGGCATTTTAATGATAAACATTTTGCTAAAGCAACAATGAAGGACAGATTTTCCCAAGATGATGACCTTTTCACCTATGGATAGGCCTTATCTACATCACTTCTCACTTTAAAATCCCAGGACATGTTTACTCTTCAGACACAAACAAAAAGCACAGCAATTCCGGATTCCATTGAAATCACATTTGCAAACTTTAGTTTTGTAAGTTACAACGGTAAGATGACTAATGATATGCTTCGGAATTCTCAGGGTGGGATGCCAAATATTCCCATGTACATCCACGCTGTGTGAGCGTCCCGGTATGGGAGGAGGTAGGCCTGGCCCATCAAAAGCCACTCCTAGTCTAACAAAATTATGTGGAAGGCTCGAGGATTCTTCAGAGAATCAGCTGTAATAAAATCCATCTTGAGAATACTCACTTTGTATGAAAGAATGCAAGAGAATGAGGTTACTTTTGCTTGGGAGAGTATTTCCATATCCTTTCCCATTGTCAGAACATTCTTGATCCATACATGCTCTTTTATTTATCCAGGATTATATAACAGGAGCGTGCCACTCATGGTAACTTCCCATATCACTTCGGCCTTTTTTTTGGGTAGGGATTCTGGTCCCTTGCCTTCTCCTCCGCGGCAGGCCCTTTTCCCTTCTTACTACCAATACAGTATCATACAACCTCCACATCCACCCAGGCTGTTAACTGTTCGAGGACCAAATTAGTGGTTTGGCTTGTCTCCATTGCCACCTTTTGGTGCTACTGTTTTATTCTGATGGTAGAGGTGGTAAGTAATATTTTGTAGAAATTTTTAGAAGAAACAGAGAAATTAAGAAAACACTTATAACCGAGCTACCCAGAGTTAGCACGCCCATTCCAGTCATTAAAAAAAAAAAAAAAACACATTTTCGGATTTATATATACTATTTTGTGTACCAGTCTTTTCACTTAACATTACAAGCATTTTGCCATGCCATCTTAACTGTTCATAAACATTAATTATAATGACCACATAATAGTCTATTGTACAGTCATATGGTAATTTATTTAACCAATTTTCTACTGTTGGACTTCTGGATTGTTAAGTATAAATTCTGCCCACATTTTAGACTATTTCTTTAGGACAGAGTCCCAGAAGCGGAATTAGAGGATCAGAAGATATAAACATTTTTAAAGCTCCTGATAGATACTGCCAAATTGCTTTTTAGAAAGCTGTTGCCAATTTACACTTCTAACATTGCCAGCGTGTTTCTCTACCAATCCAGATCTGTCTAAAGGATAATAAAATTTAAGTAGAACACACAGTCCTCAAGCTATTCATGCAGCTGGAGAGCCTTCATGACCACAGCACAGAGGCCTATGGCAAAGGTCAGACCTATTGCTGGGTATGCAATGAACAATGAGTTCGTGTGAGCCCATGGGGCATGGAAGAGGAGCTGTACCGAAGTGGAGAGTAAAGGAATTAGATGTCAGACTGTCGGATCTAAGGCCTGGGTCTGTTTCGTCCATTGCTGCACCCAGCACACAGGACAGTGCCTGGCACATATAGTCACACAACAGAAATGTGTTGAATTAACACAGACTCTTCTTTCAGATGCATTTTTTTCCCCCAGCAGCTGTAGGAGTTAGTCACTCCTGGATTCAAGGGAAACTTGACTGGTTGTATTATAAATACCCTGTCCGATCCTGAGATTCCACTTCAGTTTTAGAAAATCGGTTTAACTGAAGGTGACGCCATAAGGCTCTCTTTAGGGGAAAAACAAGTAAACACATCTGAAAGGTACACCCTGGGCACCAGGACACAGAGAAGTGTATTATTCAGTGAGTATTGTCACCTCCACAGTAGTCACTTCCACAGGTGAGAATGTAAACTCGTTCAAGTGCTGCCCATGACCGTGGTGATTTTGGACCCACCTTCAGTTCATTCGGTTACCACACTGGTTGCAACTCTGAACTATCTGCAGTATTGCCCAAACTGTTTGAGATATTATAAGGGCATAATATAAGTAGTAGTTTGCGTAATACCATTTTTAGTCAATATGGTTGAGATAAACTAGTTCATTCAGTTCTAGTTCACTCTCCTGGCACTGTAAAGATTCCCTTCAATATTCCATAATTTTTATATCATAAACTGTCAGACACTGCTGGATCAATATGGCATTAACAACGTTATTGATGGAAAAGGATCAATCTTCTGTCATTTTGTATATACACTTTATATACATTGGACCAGGCAGGCAAACTATGGTCCATGGGCCAAATCTGGCCCACCATCTGTTTTTCTCCGGTATGTAAGCTAAGAAGTCTAAGAATGGCTTTTAACATTTTTAAAAACAGTCGAACAAAATCAAAATAGTATTTTGTAACATGTGAAAATTATATGAAACTCAAATTTCAGTATCCAGAAGTAAAGGTTTATTAGGACACAGCCATGTTTATCTGTTTCTGTATTAGCTAGGTCTACTTTTGCAACAATAAAATGCTAAGCAGTTATTAAACAGACTGTATGGCCCACAAATCCTAAGGCATTTCCCTTATGGAGAAAATTTGTTGACCCTTTCACTAGACCCAAGGGTCCTTAGAGGTACTGAAGTTTCCCACTACAAATTTTTTATTTCTAGATATTAATACTGGGAGAAGGGTGATGAAACTGGGACAGTATTTGCAAGGATCTGATAAGGCAGAGACTAGAAAAGATAAATACATGCAGATTGCTTGGGATACTATGTAGAGGCCGGTAAAATCTGAGAGGTCTGATCCAACCAAGAAGCAGTTGGAGAACGCAGGGTTGCATATACAGTTCCAATAGCAAGGAACATCTTGCTAATTAAGCTACACAGGACCCTGGTGAGACCCAATCCCAAGAAGCCTAGTGAGCCTTGCTGACAAGGTGTTCTGCAAATAGCAGGCTGGGTAGCAGTGTATGAGATGCAGAGACAGACAGTTCCCCAACAGTAGCCTCCTCCTTTGCTAGATGTCCTCAAGTCAGTTGGTACCCAAAATTGATCCAGGCATCTCCATGGGCAAATCTGAACTCTAAGAAATGGATCTGAAAGGAAGCCTCTGAAAAGCAGGTCCCAGGTACACATTCTTCCCAAACAATAACATTTCAGTGAGGATTCAGAGCCAGGGGCAGAATTCGGGGGACTGCAGAGCTTCCCATGTTTTTTTTGAAATCAAACATTGGTGAATATTCTCTCTGTTTTTGCTCATTAACAGTGGGGCAAGTGGAAGTAAGGTAGGGAGGGGTGATGGGTGGAGGAAGAATTAGATAAAATCACTGATGGGATGATCTGCCCTGGAAGGTATCTACTCTCCTGGACTTCCAGCTGTGGAATATAACATTCCATATGGATTTTGAACCAGAATGGGATGAGGAGAGAGATCAGTCTGAAAGCCAAAGAGATTTCATTAACTGACTGTGTGCTGAGCTTGAGAATTAGTCAAGGTTTGCAGATGGCCAGCTCTCCTCCTGATGTCCTATAGGGAGCCAGGCTTCATCTTCTACATTTAGGGGAGTTTACCCTGAGAGAATGGGATTTGGATGTTGTATTTCTGAAAAACATTCATGACTCCTGAATACCTGAGATAACCAAACTGCCTCCTTAAGAAACTTGTAACACTGGTTGCCTCTGGGGAGTGGAACCCCTGGTGGCTAAGGGTGGGAGGGAGCTGCTTCCTCTTCCCGGTCTGTCTCTTAGATAAAACAAAAACAAGAACACATCCCTTCATGTTGTCCCACCCTGCTTCTTGAGGATAGGAAAGAAACTTAGGGACAGACAATTTCCCTACTCAAGACTATAGGGCTGAAGTGGGGAGCTGGAAAAAGGATAAAAAATTAGAGTTGTAAGTTGAATGGAAAATCCTGACCAAAAGGGAGGGAGGTGTGATCCTGAACCAGAAAACAAAGCACCAGTATAATAGAGGAGAACGAGCAAACTGATAGAGAATAAACAAAGGTGTGTTAAGAAAAGCCAAGAACAAGAGCCTGGGGGATGATGATAAGTGGATTCTTGAGACTCAGGAAACCTGTGGGGCAGGTGGAAGTCCAAGATGTAGTTCAGGGTAAATTTTGTGTCAGTGATAAAACAGATTTGGTGGGGGCGGGGGGTTGGGTTGGGGGCCGGGCACCTGGGTGGCTCAGTGGGTTAAGCCTCTGCCTTCGGCTCAGGTCATGATCCCAGAGTCCTGGGATGGAGCCCTGCATCAGGCTCTCTGCTCAGCAGGGAGCCTGCTTCCTTTTCTCTCTCTGCCTACTTGTGATGTCTGCCAAATAAATAAAATCAATCTCAAATAAAACAAAAACAAAAACAGATTTGGTGGGTGGGTGGGCACATGAGGGGTACTGTCATACAAGAATTCTCCTGTCTGGCGATAATCATAGGAACTCATGCTCTGGCCTGGGGCTTAGTGACTCTGGGCAGCCATGTATGGATAGTTTGCTGTGGGATGAGTGTTCAGGCAGAAATTTTACTTCCCCAAATCTGAGCCATCTTAAGGTCTATTATAATTTTTTTTTTTTTTAAGATTTATTTTTTTTGGAGAGAGAGAAAGCGAGAGAGTGAGTCTGAGCTGGGGCGAGGGGCTGAAGGAGAGGGACAAGCAGGCTCTCCACTGAGCACAGAGCCAGATATGGGGCTTGATCCCAGAATCCTGAGATCACAACCTGAGGGGAAAGCAGAGACTTAACCAACTGAACCACCCAGGCACCCTGGGTCTATTATCATTTCATTGAATATTTCCTGGGAAGCCTTGCAAACAGGTAATTGGTTTAGGGAGAGCCAAGGTTCGACCTGACTAGTACTCAGCACATGATCTAAAGTAAAGAATTAAGTCCTTTTCATTCTAGATACTAGTAACATTTCGAACTCACATTCTTGATTACCTGCTTCTGGTTGCTATGTCCAAACCCTGTCTGGGCCAGCAAAGCTTCTGGTACCCTATGCTCCAGCATGGTCTTGGTCCAGCATCTTTGGAAGGCTCACTCCAGCCCTGTTCACAGAACAGGAAGAAGTCCAGAAATAAGTTCTCTCAGGTTGGAGATAAGGCCTTGAGATACTGTTGTAGGATCCTGGCCCTGGCCAAGGAGCATACAATTTTCCAACAATTACCACTGAGCCTACCAAAGATTAATGTGAGGTTCAGCCACCAAGTTGCAATAGCCAGCTATGGGGGCTTTGTTCCAGAAGTGCAGGGTCCCTGGTGGCAAGTGCTTGTGGGGAACCAGGGCCTCACCTGATGTGGAAGATGTAATGGTCCTGAAACGGAATGCTACAAATGGCTAAGCATGTAGAAATCTATAAGCTGTTGTTTGGTTTAAGAGTTCTTTTGCACAAGACCTTTTATTTGTGGGATAAGGTCTAGGTTTCAGGGCACTTCAAAACTGACAGGTATTAGTAGGGAACTTGTCATTTTTTGGAAGAGATAGAGACAGTGAAAGAACAGAACTAAACATAACTGTGTCGAATAAATAAGTGTTGGGCTTCTATCAACCAATATGGTTTAGTAAGTTACTAGTTAAATAATAGGGACTGTTACCCATAAAAATCCTTGGGTAGGGACGCCTGGGTGACTCAGTTGGTTAAGCAGCTGCCTTCAGCTCAGGTCATGATCCCAGCGTCCTGGGATCGAGTCCCACATCGGGCTCCTTGCTCTGCAGGGAGCCTGCTTCTCCCTCTGCCTCTGCCTGCCATTCTGTCTGCCTGTGCTCGCTCTCTCTCTCTCTCTCATAAATAAATAAATAAAATCTTTAAAAAAACCCTTGGGTAAAACACAGACATCAGCTAATCCTGCGAAATGCTCTAACCATCCCTCCACTGCACTTCGTCAGGTATTTCTGAGATGTTTCCAGTCTATTGGAAGCCACTTGGGAAAAGTTCCATTCCATAAATCCTTGCAGGGAGGCAGAAAGAGATAAAAACAAATTCTAAACTTGCAGAACTTTTTCCGGGGCGGGGGGGGGGTGCAGTTGATGGGAAAACTAGATAATCAAGTGAGTTATTATAAACCTATCTACAGATTCAGGGGAAGCAATTTATAAACTTATGGCATAGTTAGGGCAGAGGAGAGGAAGCAAATTATCCGAAATTGTTCATCTTGTACAATAAACACCATTAACTTCCTCCAGACTTTGCTATTTCAGCCAACAGTGCCATCACTTTCATACCAATGCAGGTTGGAAGAGTCAGGCAATTCCACCTGCTTTGGGAAGCTTTCCCTAATTTCCTAGCCTCCTGTCTCACCCTTCTTTATGGATCCAGTCAGGAATCATCTCATCTTGACGTCCACCCAGCCAGCCCTTGATGATTTTGTTTTATACCTTCACAGTGTCGATGCCCAGCAGTGTTCTGAAAACTGCATGTGCTCAAAAGCCACCTGACAGTGGTAGGCATTAGTTACTAAAAACAAGCCGCTGTGTGGAAATCAGCACATAGGCAGCAGACTCCCTTAAGTCAAGGTCTAGAGTATCACCTCGTCTTCTCCTCACACACTGCGGCCTGGGACTAAGTCCACTGGCTTCTATTTTCTAGGACCAAATCCTCCTCTTCCAGCAGAGGGGATACACAAATGAGTGGGGGGTCCAAGGGCACAGGACTCATGAAACAAATCCAGCTTTTCTGTAAGAGACAGGTGTGTGAGAAAGTGAGTATAGGTGGCCAACCCCTGAGTACTGAGGGGTTCCCACTGAGTTATTTGGGCTAGATATGCCCTTAGCAATGCTCACTAGGTCCGCATGTCACTACCTTCTGTACCATACCTCAGGTCCTGCCTGTGACGCAGGCTGGAACTGTAGGCCTTCTTTTGAGGTCCTCCCATAATATGCCTTCATGGGCACAGAAGAACTCCAGGAGGTCCTGTTCCCACCTTTCAGTGGTATGATCCCCTGAGGCAGAATGTTGAGAACACAGGAACACAATAGCCACAACAAGCTAAGGCCTGGGCAGTGAGGAGATCCAAACTTTAACAAGCAAAAGACATCAAGAAACAAGCGAGTACCAGAGGTCAACAGGCAAAGTTCCTCAAAACCAGAAGACAGCCCAGTTGTCCAACAAGGGTAACTAGGAGGGTGGTAACATGGGGGAAAGAGTAATAAAGACTGAAAATGGATGAGCAGCAAATGAAGGTGCCTAACTGTGAAGCAGCTTTCTAGCTCAGGCTCAGCTACCTCACATTCCTTTTATCACGGGGTGAACCAGTCCTGAGCTGCCCTGGTGGGAAGGCTTGTTGATGATGAAGCCTGCAGAAGCTGGTTGGCAGGGTAGTGGTTTGGGGGATGGGATACAGGCAGGGGTATCTTCCCACCAGCTTCACACTCGAGATGAGTCCGTGTTTCAGAACTTATCTTTTTCCTTACACACAAGCTATTTTTATTTTTCCTCATTTCCTTTGAAAGATCAGACTGAAAGTCAAATCTCTGAGGTTTGGGTTCATCCTTCAAAATACCTGATACAACTTTTGCAGATATTTTCCTCATATTTAAGTTCTCTTTCAAAATGAGTCTAACGGTTTCTTTATCTAAATTTAACTCTTCCGCCATCATCCTCACGGTCAACCGCCTGTTTGAACAAACCAAGTCCTTGACCTTCTGGATATTTTCATCCGTCCGGTGGGTGACTGGACGACCACTTCGGGCGTCATCTCGGACATCTTCCCGCCCTTCTTTAAACCTTTTGTGCCAGTCGAAAACTCGGGCCCTTGACATGACTTCATCTCCATAAGCTTCTTTTAAAAGGTGGTGGGTCTCACTTGCGGACTTGCTCAATTTCACGCAAAATTTGATACTAATCCTTTGTTCTAGATAGCGATCACTCATTCTGGCACTTAAACAGCACACGAAAGTGAAAAGACCACAGCTGTAAGGGGAAGCGAGCGGAACCAATCTTTATAGGGCTGCAAGTGGAATCATGTCGCTCGTAACGATCCTCCAGAAGCCTCACCAGGGAAAGAGTAACTGCTTAAGTTTTCGTCCCTCAGCTTCCGGCTGAGGCGGGGAAAACCCGTCCTGAAAAGCTAACAGGGCTTAAGAGTAGCTGCAAAACTGGGGAAAATGAAATCTCCTACACGTCTCCGTTCAACTTGTGCACGCAGGTCTGCGGAAAGTGGGCAAATCAGCAAGGTCTTTCAATTCCGCGGCCCTTCAGAGTCTATGGCGATTTCTGCAATAGAGACCTAAGTGGTGGCAACGTAAGCAAGCAAGGAGAGATATAACGTGCAAGCTCGCCGACCCAGGTCTGCGGAAACCCCCGCACGCCAAACCTACCGACGGTGCCGGGGGCTCGCCAGCTCTAGAGTCCCGGGAGACATGCCCGCATGCGCAAAGCCATCTCCTGGCGGGGTAGGTTGTGCGCACGCGCACTGCGGCAGCCCGCGCCAGGCCTCGCCTCCACCTCGCCACACCCGGGCCGGCGCGCTTCTTTGCGCGTGCCCGCCTGCGGAGAAGTCGGCGGAAAGGAGGGGGCGGGGGAGGAAGGCTGAGGGAAGAGAGGGCACCCCCGGGCGCCAGGGTGCATTGTGGGAAGGAGGCGGCAGCGTCCCGGGCGGGCGGGAGGTGCACCAGCGGCAGCGGCGGCGGCGGCGGTAAATCCTCCCGGCCACTCACAGCACTGTGGAGCCGCGTCCCCAGCCCGGCCTCGGACCGCGGCGCCCCTCCTGCCCCTCGCGGCTTCTCGCCCGCCGCCCCTCCCCCCGGCGCGCCGGCCTCGCCGAGCCGGCCGGCCGGCCTGGCTCCCCTCCCCGGCCCCGACGGGCGGGCGGGCTGCCCTGAGGAGGCGGGGAGGGGAGGGCTGGGCCGGCCGGCGGGTGGGCGACGATGCCGAACTTCTGTGCTGCCCCCAACTGCACGAGGAAGAGCACGCAGTCGGACCTGGCCTTCTTCAGGTTCCCGCGGGATCCGGCCAGGTAAGCGGCGGGCGCGGAGCCGGCGGTCCGGGCCCACCTTCGCGGGGCGCGCTGCGCGCTGCCAACCGCCGGCTCCGGGGCTGCGTGGGGAGTGGGCCACGGTCGTCGACCCCAGCCTCGGCCGCTGGTGGGGAACGGACCTGGAGCAGCGGGCCGGCGGGCGCCCGGGGACCTCGGAGCACGTGCGCCAGCAGAGGCTCGGCGCGGCAGGCACCACCCGAAGGAAGAGGCTACTGGGGCGGCCCGCAGGCGGGATGAGCGGGGTTCTCGCCCTGGTTAGGTTGCTTGGGTGACCTCGGGCAGGTCGCTTTCCCCTCTAGGCTTTAGTTTCCTCAGCTGTCAAAAGAGGGACTTGGATTCTGTAGTTAGGGTTACCGGGGCCCGCCCTTCTCCTTGCCATTACCCCCGGGAGCAGTGTTTCATTTTGGAGTCCGGTCACCTTTTATCTCGTCAAGTCACAATTATTTCCTCCGGCGGATTTGATCCTAGTTTAAATTCTGGCTCTGACCGTTACTCATTGTCTTACTTGGTTATCCTGGGGATAACGGAGGGTAGGGTTGGGGGTGGGTACGCCTGTGGGCGTGGGAATGGGTATTGAAATGTCTTCCTTGAGGTAACTCACACGCTCTGACGTATATTTAAAGAGTGATGGAGAAGGGACTGTGAAAGTCTGAAGAATTTTCCTTGGCCTCTCTTCTTGATTCGTTCATTTAGAACCAACACTTAACTGTGTGCCCAGCACTAGTGTTAGGTGTTGGAAATTCACATGTGAGTGAGACGGTGTTGCTGCCTGCAGAAACCTCACAGTCTGTTAAGAAAACAGATATAGAAGAAGGCGATTATAATATAGCATTCTATTTATTAGTTCCACAAATATTTATTGAAGGCCTACTATGTGGTAGGCATTGCTCTGAGCACTGGAAGTGTACAGATGAACTGATCAGAGTCCCTGCTCTCTTGAAGTTGACATTCCAGTGGAGGAAAATAGACAAATAAATATGTATGTACAGTATGTCATATGGTGATAAATACTTTGAAGAAAGGACAAATGTTCGGGCATAGAATAAGGAGTAGCAGAGGAGGCACAATTGTTATTTTAAAATAGGTGATCAGAGAAGGCCTCACTAAGAAGGTGAATTTGAGGAAAGACCAGAAGTAGCTGAGAAGGCCAGCTATGAAGATATCTAGGGAAAGAGCATTCTGGTCTGTGGAAACAGTAAATGCAAAGTTAGGGCATGCATGTAACAGGTACAGTCAAAAGTCCATGGACAGTAGAGCTGGTTTAAGGAAGGAGGGAGAGGGAAAAAATGAGACCAGTAAAGTGTGTGTTTGTATGGTAGGGGCAAATTGTGTGGGACATTATAAGCAATGTAAAGCACTATGGTCTTTATTCTGATTGAGACAGGAAGTCATCCAAGGGCTTAGAGAAGGGAGACTATACTTTAAAGATTTTACTTATTTATTTGACAGAGAAAGAGAGATCACAAGCAGGCAGAGAGAGAAGGGAACAGGCTGCCTGCTGAGCAGAGAGCCCGATGTGGGACTCGATCCCAGGACTCTGGGATCGTGACCTGAGCCGAAGGCAGAGGCTTTAACCCACTGAACCACCCAGGCACCCGAGACCATATTTTTAAATAGGATTACTGGCTGCTTGTTAGATTGTAGGGAAGCAAAGGTGAGAGCAGGAAGACCAGTTAAAGGCAATTGCAGTAATCCAGGTTAGTAGAGGAGGTGGTAAACTGCTGGCGTTTGAGACACGTTTTGAAGGTGAAGCCAACAGGATTTGTTAATGGTTTAGATGTAGGTTGTAAGAGAAAAAGGGAAGTCAAGAATAACCCTAAGATTTTTTTAACCTGAGTATTTACTGAGCTATGGAAGTCTGGGAGGAGTAGGTTTGGTGGAGACATTCAAAGTTTGGTCTAGGACATGTGAAGTTTGCAGAGCTTAATAAATGTTTAGGAATATCCAGAAATGAACTTAAATGGCCCATATTTAGATCAGTAACCTAAATATTTTAGAGCTAAAACCATAAAAAGATAGTCTGGAATTTAGAGACTTTCAGACTAGATACTGTAAATATGGGTGTTCTCAGTTTATAGAGGGTATTTAATGTCATGCTCTGGGGTAAGTAAAGCGGAATAGGTCTGAGAATTGAGCCCTGGGGCATTCCTGGTGTTTAAAGTTCAGGGTGGTGAGGATGAACTACTTTGGAAGACTGAGGAATAGCTGTTGGGTTCCATGGGAGCAGAGAAGGGGAACATCTGAATCTGACTGGGCCTTAGCCCATTAAGCATTATCTTCCTTTTACCCAAATTTTAGCCCAAGGGCAATCTTGAGAGTATATTTCACTTTCATAATAAGGGCAACATTAGTTGATTCTGGACCACAGGTCATTTGTGTCTGTATACTGTAGCAAATGCTCTTTTCATTACACTCCTTAGAGGGGAGGAGGTATGACCTATAGGGGTGTACAGTCTCAAATTTGGGAGGAATTTTTAGATCTAGTGCATTCTATCCCCTTTGAGAATCTCACATAAGGACCTAACTTGAGAAAAGACAGAGACAATTTTGCATTCCACTGTCAAGGTATTTATGGACCCTATAGGGCCCTGTGCATTCCTGACAGGGGGGCCTTTGCTAAAACACCTCCAATGACTGTTCTCTGCTTTGTGAAGGGATGCTTCAAGATTTTGGACACCTTTAGCTATTATTTCTTCCTTTTATTGAGTGTGAATATGCCTCCCTATAATTTATGCTTTGGAGGTCCTAGTTATGTTCCTACAGTCATACTGAGCAAATCTGTGCCATTTTCTGTCAGACTGCTTTGAATATTTCGAGACTAAATTAAGAACTTTTCTTAATTTTTTTTAAACATTTTTATTGAGATAAAATTCACATACCATACAATTCACCCATTTAAAATGTGTATTAAGTGCATTTTAATATACGTTATACAGTATTAATGTATATTGTTTAGTATACATTATTTTTAAACATTTTGTTAAGATATATAACATAAAATTTGTCATTTTAACCATTTTTAAGTGTATAATTCAGTGGCATTAATTACATTCACAGTGTTGTGCAGCCATTACCACTGCCCATTTCAAAAGTTTTTTCATTACCCCAAGCAAGCAGTAACTCTTTCCCTACATCCTACTCTGCTCCATCCGCTTTCAGTCTCCATGAATTTGTGTGTTCTGTGTACGTCATGAAAATGGAATCATACAGTTGTCCTTTATGTCTGCTTTATTTTAGTTAACATAATATCTTCAAGATCCTATTTTATCCAAACCGAATCTCCTCATACTAAGGATTCCAGATTCTTCTGTTTTTGACAGTTTCTTCTTTACTGTGCCCAGAATTAATTATAATAAAGAAGTAGTTTTCAGAAGTGTGCATTGAATTAATGATAGTATTTTTAGGGTTATTAATTATAATTAGTTTTTTTTTCTGTAAATGAGTTGTAGGGAAGGTTGATAAAAGGTGACATTGCCAACCTGTCCTTGAAAAGTTAACTAATAATTGTTAACTAAAAATGTAGTATATTTAATGTTATTAAATAGTATATTTCTTTTTGTTTTATTTGTAAATTCCATGGACGTTTTTATAAAGAGCTATTTGAACTAATTTAAAATTCAAAAGTATGGTTAATAAAGGGCACAGTGCAGAATTTCCCAAAATACAGTACCTTTTATTGGTTCAGAAAAAGTGGCATTAATGTGCTTTTTATTTTTTTATTTTAATTTTAGTTTTTTTAATTGAAGTATAGTTGACAATGTTCAGCATTAGTTTCAGATGTACAGTGTAGTGATTCTATAAGTCTATACATTATGCAGTTTCACCACAAGTGTAGCTACCACCTGTCCCCATATAGTGCTGTCACAGTAACACTGACTATATTACCTATGCTGTGCCTTTTATCCCCGTTACATATTCTTTCTTTTTTTTTTAAACTATAAAATAATTGAATCGACTTGCTTTAAGACAATGGTAGAGAGATCATAGATTACCTAAAATTAAAGTTAAAAGAAAAAAAAAAAACCTTCCTAAAACTGGATCACTCGAGGATGGCTTGATTAATGCCAAGGCTTGGCAGAAATCTAGGGGCAGCTCACAGTAGAGCTCATACCCAGATGAGGTGAAGGTACAAGTAGAACTAATGAATTGCTCCTATTAGAGCGAGTTGGGCAACTGAAGCCCTCTTCTTCCTTCTCAGGCGATTAGTTTTAACTCACCCCTAAGGTGGTGAGGTCTTCAAGATTCTTTTGGCAATAATCAAAGTAAATTGAGAATTGATGTACTCTGCCTTGTAAAATGCAGAACAGTGGTTTTTTGGGACACTCATGAAGGTCCCCCAAGACTTTCAAGGAGTCCACAGGGTAAAAACTGACATTATTTGCCTTTTTCATGCTCATTCTTTCAGGAGTGTGCGCTGAAGTTTCCGA